GATGAGATACAGCGACAACTGGATGGAGTCAACTCATTTTATAGAGGTACATGTTCATTATAATGAATTATGATCCATTGTCACGAAATCTGTGACAAGCGAAAACCCATTAGTTCCATTGTCACAAAATCCGTGACAAGCAAAAACCCATTAGTTTCATTGTCACGAAATCCGTGACAAGCAAAAACCCATTAGTTCCATTGACAATGATATTTTGAACTCTACATCTCTCAATTTATTTGTCGTACAAATTTTAAAAAGACAATATACATGTACATATGTACAATTTACTGTCCCTCCCTCTTCCTCCCTATTGTTAGTACATGAGTCTGAATTGAGTCACCAGCTTCAACACTTAGCGGAACAAGTTGACACTTTCTCTCAAGCTCGTCGTATCAAAAACTCAAACAGGAAAAGAAATTCGCTAATCAAGGCTTTCTGTGAATTTTACTATCATCTCTCTCTCCTTCAAAACTTTCAAGTAACTACTTCATAATACCCAAGGCTATACCCCATGGTTTTTTCCAAAAAATGGCTACAAAATCACTCCCAATTTTTATTGCATTTTCTGATACATATTGATGTACTTATGCTATGTAGAAAGTTTGAGCTGATTCCGACTTCAATTTTTCAAGTTACAGCCATTTTTAAAAATGATCCAAAATCTGAAAAATACCCAAGGCTATAGCCCATGGTTTTTTCCAAAAAATGGCTCCAAAATCACCCCCAATTTTTATTTCATTTTCTGATACATATTGATGTACTTATGCTACATAGAAAGTTTGAGCTGATTCCGACTTCAATTTTTCAAGTTACGGCCATTTTAAAAAATATACATGTACATGTACAGCATTGTGATTCTATTCTTAAATTTTCTTATTTTTATTTTAGAAATTAAACCACACTGGCTTTAGAAAGATACTTAAGAAACACGACAAAGTCAGTATTTGCATGTACATGTACATGTATATATTATTTATTTATTTATTCTTGCATGTACTGTAGCTTGCAAGTTCAGATCGTGGCAGCAAATTTTTCAAAGAAAATGTCGAGAAATCATATTTTCATAAATCGAAAGAGATCAATGCCCTCGTTCAAAGAACCGAAGTAAGAAAAAACAATAATTTTAGTTTTTAAACTATTCTATATTTTTATCCTTTCCCTTCTCTTCTCAGGATATTATGATAAACCAACTTGAGAATGGTAACCGCGGTCGAGCCATGGCTAAGCTTCGTGTCCCTCCACTGGGCGGAGTCTCATCACCGTGGGCTATACTGGCCAGTGGGTGGCTAATGGGAGCCATTTTTATAATGGCAGTAGTCGCCATTATAGCTTGTAAGAGTAAAAATACATGTACACGTACATGTATTTTTATTATTACATGTACATGTACACAGGTGTATATCGGAACCGTAGTCCCTTACCGTGGTCCCCTGACACTGGTGTGTTACTGGGTCTTCGGTCGGGTTTCGTTCTTTCGGTTTGGTTCTTCTCTTTTGCTGTTAATACTTACTTCT